AAATTGGTAGACAGGTTCTGGAAGATAAGCACCTCATTATAAAATAACGTTTTTAAGCTAGAAACGAATATGATACAAGTGGTAAACAAATCTTTAAACACATCGAAAATAAATGGAAAGTACAATTTATTAAATTGGAAGGTGATTTAGTCTCTAATTTTGCTTGGTTTTAAGTCAAATGTTAAGATTTTGTGAGACTAGTGTCAACCTCTCGCTGTGTATCTGTTGCTGATACTCCAATAACAGGGATAATAATGCCGTCTCTTGAACCGCCTGATTGTCAACCTTCAGAATATTGTTGGTTTATGGCTGCCATGGTCAAAAAGCACACAATGGACAAAGAGCAAACGTCAAGCCATTAAGATTTTCTGAACATTGGCCTATATATATATATAACTCACTGAACAACAAAATAATTTCCAAATTGTAAATAATTGGAGTAAGATAACAACAAATCATTTGTGTGGTCAATTTAATGAAGTGGAAAGTGATTCGTTTCAAATCGATGGGGCTTTTTCTTGAAATTAAATAACTCTATATTAACGACATCACAAAAAATATAATGTCTGAATTAAAACTATTTGCCGACGATTGCATATTATTTAAATGTATTAATGATGACCAGGATGCCAAACAACTACAAGATGATCTAGATAAAGTAGAGTGCTCCAATAAATGGCAAATGAAATTTAACCCCAACAAATGCCAAGGGAATAAAATAAGCAATAAAAAAAAAAACAATCAGCATTATAAATATATAATGAGTTATGTTATTCTCCAATCAACAAAACAACTTAGTTATCTTGGAATTGAGCTTACCAACAACTTAACATGGGGAGCTCATATTGACAGAATTTCCAAAAAAGCAAACAATACACTTAACATGCTAAGAAGAAACTTTTGTAATTGCCCTTATTGAAATTAAAGATAAATCTTACAATACATTCGTTAGACCCACGTTGGAATATGCGCAGACAGTATGGGATCCATATCAACAAAAACAAATCAACAAAATACAATCGATTCAAAATAAAGCAGCTCGATACGCCACTAAAAATTATGAAAGGAATAGTAGTATTACGGAGATTCAAAAACAATTGAATTGACCTATCCTACAACATAGAAGGTTTGTTGCTAGACAATCACTTCTTTATAGAACATGGCATGGAAAAACAGCCATAATAGTACCATCAAATATAAAGAATAATAACAATAGAAGAGATTAAGAAATTCCAGTAATTTTAACCTTATGGATATAAGATGCTCAAGTGACAAATATAAATTTTCTTTTTTTCCACGCACTACCGGTATAAGGGCATGGAATTTATTGCCAGAGAATATTAAACAATCTAAATCATTACCTGTTTTTGAATCTACGCTTTGGACAAACATAAATGATGGTACAATTATCCACAACAAAAAATGATGTTGATGTTGTTGACGAACTGTTTTGATTGGTAATTAATATGTGGTTTTAATATTGCACTAAGTGGTTTTGTTTGGTCTGGTTTCATGTATTATGTACACACTGAGAGACGCACCCCTGGCGCATATACCCCAGCGGTCCTTCGCCAGTATTGATCCAGATCCAGATTTATGTATATATTAAAAATAACAATTAATTAGCTATAAATGATTGTGTTTTCGAAATATAAGTCATGTTTCTATACAGTATATGATAATATATATATAGGCCTATATATATCAGATAATCCAAACAATAATATATATATAATGCCTCATGTATTATGTGCTGCAAAAACATGCATACATTTCTACTTTGTATAATCGTAATGGTTTTATATGTAAAATATTGATACAAGAGCGCTGAGATGGATAGGAAACGGATGTTTAGTCTTAACGTCAATAATAACTAACACTAATAATAACACTATGTCTGCATAAAAATTTTAGTAAATAGGAGCTGTAACAACGTGAAAGAAACATTAATTGTGTGCGCACGTGATGGCGATGTTGCTTTTCATGTAGGTGGTGATGGTGAGCTAAAAAATCTTTACGACTATTCACCTATGTCAATGGGAGGGTTGCTGAGTGGAAGTGGCGTATCTAGGGGTGCACGGGGGTAGGGACGTACCGCACCCGACAGCCACACACCCCCCCCCCCCACCCGACAGCCACACCCCCCCCCCCGTCACTTAAAATGTCTGAAGCAAAAACATCACATTCAAATAGTTAACAATCACCTCATATCACCTTATTTTGAGATCTAGCAGCCCTCATATAATCATGGAGCCCACTTGTCCTTCACCACAACCCCATCCATCGGTACCCAGCCTATTTCAAAGCTCATGTAGATACGCCACTGCTGAATGGACGAGTATTACGTGTCACAGAACACAAGACAGTCGGAAAAGGCAGAGTCTAAAAATCGTCCAATTTCGAGAAAAAAACGTGAGTTATAAGTTTTTTTTTTTTTTTCAAAATTGGGATTTTTCACCTAGTCATTTTTCGGTCGATTCTTGCATTATGTTACCCAATAAACATGAAAATATCGATTATGTTTGAATTATCCTTTTTTGATATCTTTTTATAGCATTAAATATTGTGAATTATTCCAAAATTGAGCCTCTATATATAAATGCCTATTTTAAGCTTAAAAGTAGGTTTTAAGTGTATTTGCAATCATGGATAGTATTTTTGTGATCCGTAGGTGCCCCAGAACACAAAACAGCTGGAAAACGCAGGGTTAAAAAATAGTTCGATTTCGAAAATAAACTTGGAGTAAAATCTGGAGTTATCCAGAGGGGTGTATAGAGGATTTTTTTCTGGGTGGGTCGTGATCATAATTTTCTGACCTTTTCACAATGAAATAACAGCAAGATGTGATTAAAATGTCAATACAATTTGCTGGAAGTAGATGGCAGGCTCAGTTTCAGAATTGCTGAAATTGAGATAGATTACGTCACGCAATTGGCAAGGTCTTGGACTCATTGCTGGTACCTCATCAATGCTTTTTCATCATTTATGTCATTGTGAAAAGGCTCTAGAAAAAAATGTCTTTGGAAAAAATGTGGACCTTTGAACATTTTTTTTGTTCGAGGGGGGGGGGGAGTCGTAAAACCTTCCCGACCGCCCCATGCATACACCCATGCTATCCCTTTGCGTTTTTGCCAAAATTGGGATATTTTTCACCAAGTCGATTTTCGGTCGATTCTTAAGCTGGTTTTCCACTAGGCAAATTTATTCCCACGAATCAGAGCGTCGGTTCGTTTCCTGAGTTCTGATTGGTTGCGCATTTTTTCGCTAGCAAAACTGCGATAGAAATGTAAATGCGCATGTGCATGAGCCGCAGCTTTCCATTCGCGCGAATAAATTCGCCAAGTGGAAAACAAGATTTACACACTGTTACCCAATTATCATGAAAATATCGATTATGTTTGAAATAGCCTTCTTGAATACCTTTTTATAGTTTTAAATGTTTTAATTATTCCAAAATTAAGCCTCTAAATGCCTTTTTTAAGCTTAAAGCTACGTTCACATTAAGCCCGGATCCGGTCCGGAGCCTGGACAAAAAAAATCGTAAGTTGCTACGTTTTTTGAACATCGTGCAAGGAACAAGACTGTTCGGGTTACGTATGCGTTCGATTAGTTCGAACCAACCGAGCTTGTTGCTAATTGGTCGAAGAAAAAAAACCGTGCGATTTCAAGATACAAATGGCTCTCAGATCCATCAGTCCGGATCCGGAGTCTGGATTAGGAATTGTAAGAATTTGATGTGAACGGTCCTATTCTTTACCACTGAACCCATTTTTCACGATTTTTTCTCTGGACTCAAAACTGGAATCCAGTCGGAAAAAGCATAGTCAAAAAAATCTTCCAATTTCGACAAAAAACGTGAGCTATAAACCTTCGTGTCTTTGTCAAAATTGTGATATTTTTCACCTAGTCTTTTTTCTGTCGTTTCTTACATTTTAATGTTACCCAATAAACATGAAAATATCTTTTATAGCATTGAATGTTGTGAATTATTCCAGAATTAAGCCTATATAAGCTTAAAAGTAGGTTTTAAGAGGCAAACATGGATACAGTAGTATTTTTTGTGATCCGTGGGTGCCACAGAACTCAATGGACCTTTGATTGACACTCCGGAAACTTTGTTAAACATCCTTTTCGTAGCAAAAATTAATGTAAATTATGCCGGAAGTACAATACAATAATTACATATCGTCTGGCAATGGCATTAAAAAAGTAATTATATCCAGTTTTTATATGTTAGTATTTTAATATTGTTTGCTTATGAATGCCCACAAATGAAGAAAAGGAAAAAAATAAGATAGCAAGAAAAAAAAAATTGACAGCGGATTAATATTACATTATGAAAGTTATATACTGTAGTATTAATATTAACTCATTATTTATTTTACCGGTAAATTTAGGGCATTAGTAATTAGAAATCAAGATGCTTAAGAACAGCAGGTTTCATAATTTGACATATTTTTAAAATGTTGTCATACTAGCTATTTTCTATTTCATTCGCATCTAACAGTAACTCGACAGAAAGAATGAAACGATGCGTTATAAACAAAATTAAAAAGAAAATCTGGTTTGATGTTATAGATAGGAGATAAAATTAAATTTTATTGGTGAATGTAAACAACAGTATATTAATGGGATGATTAAATACTCTAAATTCATATATTAAGAAGAAATATACATATCTTATTTTTGAAAATTTCAAGACGGCAGTGGGCGTAATGAAAATAAAGAAAATCTTTTTTTTTCTGAAATTTTAATATTTTCGTGGCTAATTGGCCAAAAATATAATTTAATCTTTTATTCGAAATCATCATTATTGGCGGGCGGTGGGTTCGCTAAACCCACCCAACGCCATCGAATAAACGCAGCACCTAACGTTATTTTTACTGAAACAAAATAAACAAAAATCATAACCATCACCATCATCTTCACCATCATCACCACCATCATATTTTTAAACATGTCTACTTGAAACCAGAGCACAATGTAAAAAGAAACAACAGTTGATAGTTAATATCAAATCACTTTTATTTCTGAAAAGAATTTCATTGAATGACTGCATAGTCCACCTAATTACAAAATTATCTTGAAAATATATCAACTATCTATATAGCAATATACTTTCTATCATTTTAAATCAAATATTTTAAAGTTGGTTCTATTCTTTTTGATAAACAAAACTTGATGGAGATTTTGAATTCTGTTCAATTCTGTTCTGTTAACACAATTAACTGTATGTTATTTTCAAGGTTTTGTGGAGGATTATTATTAACAGCTCATTGCTCAGTACTTTAAAATATGTTTTTATTTTTCAATCTATATGTTCTCCCTCCCTTTTTTTATTCAAATACATGTAATATTAAATATTTGAAACCTAAACACCAAATTTTGTGGTTGATTTTTTCAACATAAATTTGTATTTGTTGGGAAAAACAAGTAAATATTTTATGCTCGCATACAAAAAAATAAAAGAAAATAATGTGAATTCTATTTAAGAATATATAAACAAAAATTCATGCTATTTCGTTGTTATTTCTGCTACGGAATCAGCACTTTTTCCTTCACTCATGCACACTTCAATACTTATTAATTATTTCATGAGAATGAGGTGGACACGTTCACACAGTATTAGTAAATAAACATCACAAATTCTAAACCTATTTCAGCAAACGTGATCAAAAACTCTTAGTATACTTGTTCCTGTATTTAGATCATAGTACTTAATTGGTGCCCACTAACAAGAGAAAATTCTGTCGGTAACTGCAACAATGTAAATCATTGCAGAACCGGGGGAACAACAATGAAGGACACATGAGGAACCAGTAAGATTACTTAAAGACCAGCTGAAGTAACAAAAAAACAAAAACTACATCAAAATCAGGTCATTGACTAATGTTACAAAGGGTCTTCAAAGGACAAAGTTGACTAGGCCTATGTAAAACGACAAGAGAAACAATGCAAATTTAAATTAAATTCTTTCACAATGAACTTTCCTGCTAAGTACCAGCCTAAAGCTCTGTCCAGATTATCAAATTTTCTTTGTTGATGTATGCCCATATATAGTCCTGATGTGCCTATATATGGTCATGTGATGTCATCATGACCATATTTAGGCATGTCGCATGTTTTTGTCAAATAACAGTTGATAGTGTGAACAGGGCTTTAGATGTTGTTGCTAAGCAACAGTGTGAACGTACCTAAATTTATGTCTTTGTATGATTCCTTGTACGTATTTCTGACACTAAATGAATGTTCCGATTGCCCAGTTGGTAAATTTGATGGACACCCTGGAAAAATCTATTTCTTTAATGTTTTGACCAAATTGATGGCATGAGGTAATGCCTCCAGTTACATAATGTAAAGTCCAGCACGCTCTTCTATTTACACAGGCCTAGTGCATAAATGAGAAAAACTAAACACTGTTCAAGAACAATGTCTCAGAAGAGTAAATTTGTTTAATATCTGATACATTGTTTGTGAACGAGCAATGTCTCTGTCAACATGTGCAGGGATCTATAAACATTTAGATTGTTCCTCAGACCATCGATTGAGAATCGACTCTCCAGTGCCTGTGATTAATACTAATACTAAGATATTATTGCAGACATTCCTTGGCATCTACTGATTATGTGTATAATTTGATGATGTATGTTTTTCATAATTCAGCTTGTCTTTAATTATTAAATTACATGACTGATAATTGATATCATCTATTTATCTTAGATGTCAAATTATTAATACCTAGCTAACATGGTTTAGTGTCTTCAGATTTAGTGCCTTCAGGTTTAGTGTCTACAGGCTCAGTGTCTATAGGCTCAGTGTCTTCTGGTTTAGTGTCTTCTTGTTTAGTGTCTTCGGGATTAGTGTCTTCTGGTTTAGTGTCTTCAGGCTTAGTATCTTCGGGCTTAGTGTCATCAGACTGACTGCATTCGCTACTTAGCTCACTTGAAACTGCAGTTTCAGATGGTGTTCCATTATCTTCAAGCGGTTTTTCAACTAAAGTTTCTGCAGGTGTGTCCACCGTTGTTTCATCTTGTGTCTCCGCTGTTGTTACATCTTGCATTTCTGAACCCAACTCATCCTTTACAGATGACATTTCTTCAGGTGTCTGATCTTCTGCAAAGTAAATAGTTAAAAAGCTTAAATTACGAAGGGCAGTTCACCAATTGAAAATTTTCACAAAAGACTAGATTGCCTTTATTTAGTGTTAACACTAAGCCTTATTTCCAGTGGGGTCCTTCTGGTGGTGATTAGGCAATACACCCGGAGACAATCCCAACAATAAAACAATAAAACATACTGCTTAAGCGTCTCATCCAAAAGATGGTACGCTTCCTTATACTGGCGTTTCAGCCCACTAGCCAAAACACAAAAAAAGTAGCAGATAGAATTCGTCGCTCGCACCACGAACTAACACAACCAAAGCAGATTGTGTTAGTTCGTGAAATCACAGTAGCGCGTCAAAACGAGCGCGTATTGGTTGTCAAGCAATTTTGTATTCTTTACCACACAAAAAGTCCTTAACAACAACAGCCTGTATTTTGACGCGCTTTCTTGATTTCACGAAGTAACACAATCTACTTTGATTGTGTTAGTTTGTGATGTGAGCGACGAATTGAACTGAGGTCCAAAGGATCTCCACGTTTCAGCGCACACACAGTGGCTACCACCATTTTAGCCAACTTAAGCTACGCTGCTATACTAGGCTACAATTCACACTACGTCTTTGAATGAAATAGACCATCTTTCAACAAATGAAAATATTCTTCCGATTGCACTCATATACATACATTCATTAGAATAATCACATAGTTCCATCAATGTGATAAGTAAGTGTAGTTGGTATGGCAAGACTTTTTTTATACTTTGTTTCGCAAACTTACTTTTTTAAAGATCATTAGAGGGCGGAAAAAAAATTAAAATAAAATTTTGTTTCTTATTTAGCAAATAGTTTTGTCAAAAACACCCAGAAGCAGTAGAAAATAAAAATAAAATTTTATTGGTGAATGTAAATGTGTAGTAATGGGATAGTTAAATGCTTTAAATTTATATAATCAGGAGGAAATATACATATCATATTTTTGGAGATTTGAAAACAGCGGCAGGCTTAATGAAAAGAAAGAAAACTTTAATTCTTTTCTGAAATTTCCATTTTTTTCATGGTAGCGGGTGTGCTGATTGGCCAAAAATAAAATTTTATTTTCATTTGAAATCATCCTTTTTGGCGGGCGGTGGGTTCGCTAAACAAAGTATAATAACAGATGTAAAAGATATTTTTTTTTAAAATCACCAATAAAGGAAGTGCCTTATGTTACATGACATACCATCCAGCTTGGATTGATCCACCATAGCGTTTCTTTCAGCCTGTAATGCTCGGCACAGCTTCTCAAGTTTTTCTATCCTTGCTTTTTGAGCAGTTACTGTTTTAATCATTAATGCTCTCTAAAGGGAAATAAACAAGAAGAAGGTTATAGATATAATGTTTTATATCACAAATATATATGTTGCAGAGGGAAATTTAGAATGGAAACACAGGGGATGTGCCCCCCCCCCCTTTTGTTACTGCCGTCTTGAAGTTTTTTCACAGAAAAAAAATACAAGCCTACACGAAATCCGTGCCCCACGTTTACATAATTGTTTATCCGCCCCTGTGCTGATATATATTTAATATTGTAATTGGTAATCCTACCTATCTTTTCACCACTATACTCGAAAATCGTATAGTTGAGTTCTTAGAAATAAACTAATATAGCTCAACCGAGTATGGACTCATGTATGAACTTAATAAAAAAAGATTGGAGAAAGACATTATTCTTTTCCTCACTTTTATTTTCTACAATCAATATCAATAATATAATCTACAGACTATCACAGTTTAAAATTAGTACAAAGATATACAATTAATTTAAAAATAACTTCCTTTTAAATTATCATTTAAGTTTACTTTGTATAAATGTTTTAAAATCTCACCTCTTCTGTCATTTGCTTAAGTGTTTTATTACTTCCTTCCCATCGCACCTTCCACATGTTTGTTTCTTTTTCTAATTTCTTGATTTTCTTAGTCATCTACAAAAAAAAACAACACATCATTACAAAAGAATTAGAATCATCTTCACCAATATTTAATGTTATGTTATGGTTAAAAAATACTATTATTTTGTGTATATTTTTTTTACTTTTCCAAACCAAAGTAGACGCAATAAGTTTGCATTCGACTGCAACATTTAAGTGTGAATTTCGGGTATTCTTTTGCATAACCTCTCAAAACATTCCTATAACTAATGATTGTGGCTGTATAAAGTAGAAATAAAAAGATGATCATTAACAGATTGTGATGTTCATTTGGGTAATGGGTAATTCTCAGCCTCTGTCTTATTGTCTATTAAAACCGATATGTTCTATATGTTTGTCATTCCCTAAAAATAAATTATCAACAAACAAAAATGTTAAAGTTTTGAATTTGATAAAATCATTATTCTACAAAACTGTTATTATTAAAGATGACCATACAAAGGCTGCATTATAATTTAAAAATTAATTTAGAATTAATATAGTGCCTTGCATTTTGGATTCCAAGTTTTAAAAACATTTTTCCTGATGATATTGTACAATACAATTAAGTCCATAAATTGACAATTAAGTCCATACTGTGAAGATGACAAATAAAAAGTATTTTTTTAAATGTATAAAATATATGTGCACAGAGCTTTGTTTGATCTGACTATGGAGATAATAAGATCTGACATTGATTTGGTTTATTGTTGTTTCACACATATCTGACCAAACAAATCATGTGCCTTTCCCTGTTTGTTTGAAGTATGTGCTACTCCATCAAAATTCATTCTCAAACACTGTGAGTCTCAGAAAAAAAAAATAATGTGTAGCTTTAGAGTTTTTGACAGAGCAATTATTTCTAATAATATGACATCACTCAGTGATATATTAAATAACATGTGACTTCAATAATAAACATCAATCTTACTTTGTCCATTTCCTGCTTGAAAGTTTGAAAAACCTCATTACTTTTAGTCAACGTTGTTTGAAATTCCTCAAACTTCTCAGTATAAACACCAAGCTGTCCAAAAAAAAAAAAACAGAAAAAAAACCCAAAAAACCAGTGAAAATCTCAATAAATTTGTTAAAGAATATAATAATTATAAAACATTCATATCTATTTTATTTTTTTAATGCAATTATATACGCCTTATGCAAGCTCAAAATGTTTTAGTTTCCTGGACAATGGATATATACTGTAGTCAATATGAAAGAGTTTTCTATTTGTGCTGAAAATATTTACACATGGTCGCTAATATTCTACCAGGTACAGTAGAACCTCGTTTTTACGTACCCCAGTTATACGAACCCTCGGTTTTACGTACGCCTCGTATCGACAATGACGTCATCAAAAACCCCCGAAAATATTCAAAACAAACGGCCCTTTTCAGAGCAACCATAAGTAAAAAGACTATAACAATAAATTATAACAATAAACAAACCATAATGCAACGTATTTTCATTAAACAGCAATGTTGATTGAGTCTAATATCGGGTTGTTATAATCTAAAACCACGTGAACTGAGTGAGATGAACAACTACCGATGGTGCTCAAAATAATTGCTTTCCTCCTTAGCTTCGTGTGGCAACCATGGAAAAACTCGTCTGGTCGAATTTTCTACACGAAGCTGAGTAGACATAGTTTCGTACACGAACGCTAATTGGTTGGCTCGCCCAGTGCATAGCACATGGTTGCTGTTTCACGCACACGAACGCTAATTGGTTGGCTCGCCCGCCCAGAGCAGCGCACATGGTTTTAGTTTGTCTGAACAGGCCCAGACAACACCATACCTCTGTTGTTTAGAATAGGCATGAAGGGGAATTCCCAAGTTATACCTTTGTCGTATAGGTAATCTTACAATATTTTCATGTTCTTTAGTTAAATAAAAGATATTAAGTGATGAATTAGTACACTAGACACATGGTTTTATTTGAACACTTTATTATGACATTGTAAAGTGATGAATAAAAACACTAAACACATGGTTTTATTCGTAGGCCTAGAGGTTAGCCTAGGTAACATCGTTCGTTCATACTTACGTTTATTGAGCGTTACGTACGTATTAGGTCAAAGGTTAATTAGCCACAAATTTAACCCAACCTCTATTTTACGAATCCCCCAATTTACGTACGCCCTCTGGTCCCGTACCGTACGTAAAATCGAGGTTCTACTGTATGTATCTAAGGCCCTGTCAACACAATTATATTTTATGTCACAAATATCTGACATTTGCCATATATAGACATGATGATGTCATATCACACCCATATATGGGCAAATCACAGTTATTTGTTGTATAAAATTTAATAGTGTGAACACAGATCTTTTGATTGGAAAATCATATCCACACTGCGCAACATGCTTCCACAAAACACACAAATGAGGGTCAAATTCATACCTGGGACTTCAGTTGGGCTTCTTGCTTTGTTAATGCCTCACATTTTAGATGCACATCAGCAGTTTCATTAAGAAGCTGAATAGTGAAAAACAAAATTTATTTAAATAATATGAAACAAAATTTGTTTTGTAGAACTCAAGTAAATAGAAACGATTAATTTCATTTGATTGTTACATTTTTTTTCTTACATATTTATTTTTTTTCAATTTTTTAACTGCAGATAATCAGTTTTACTTACAATAGCTTTCTCTCGAATGTGTTTTTCTTTTTCTTCTGCCAGTGTCAAATTAGCTTGCTGGAGTTTAGCATCAAATAACTGAGCCTCCAATTCCTTATGTTTCAGCATCTTATCAATATGCTAATAATGCAACATAAACTTCATATTAATAATAGGTTAAAAATCAATCAATTTCCTATAAATTTAAATACACTCTCATTTATTATAATTTAAATTAAATTGGAGTTCTTTCTTTGCCCATGATACATAGTAACTTTCATCAATTACAATTGACTCTTATGACCTACACATATTTGGAGATGGTAATAAAACCTGAGAAAGAAACTACAATGAAAATATCGACAGAATCAAATCATTTGTTGATCATCAGTGTTGAATGATGATGATGATGATGATAGTGGTGGTGGTGAAGATGATGATGATCCTGATGGTGATGATGATGATGATGATGACGGTGACGATGATGGTGGTGATGATGATGATAATGATGACGATCTGATGATGTTGAAATTTATGATGGATGATGATGATGAGTTTCATACCTCTTCTCTTCGTTCATATTGCTCAACTAAATTCTTGAGTTTGGTGGCCAGTTCTAGGTTCTCTTCTTTAAGTTTCATGTTCCTGGCATGGTTTTCTTGCATTTGTGATGTGATTTCATTGATAGTTTGCTAAATTAAAAATAATGTTGTAAAAATATCAATCTTTAGACAAACTGAAACAAATATAATGTTTCACAATGTTTGTTCATGTTTTTTGTCATGTTTTTCTTATTTTTTTTCTGACATCAGACATTTATGTCTTAAATAAGATATCCAGCATATTTTATCTAACAACTGTCACTTTTATACTCATTTACATTAATGCAATATTTACAATAATATACAAATTTCAAAATCTGTTTACCTGAAACTTAGCAGAGACTTCCTTCCTCTTTTCTTCCTCTTCTCTTGCACGCTGCAAACTCTCCTCCTGTAAAGAAAATATTAAGTAAGATTTCAATAAATTGAATGAATGAAAAGGAATGTACTTAGGCCCTCTTTTAGAAGCATGGTGTCACACATATGTACCCAAATATATCCTAATTGACCCCTTATCTCCTTGGGGGAAAATTCATAATCTTGCTACATGAAGAATTCCAATCATTTTTCCACATGGGTGTTGACATGTGCTTGCTACAGACAAATCATACCTTCACTGTTTTATTGTGCCTCTGCAATTCTCTGCAAAGACTCTCCAGTTTACTCTTGGCCAACAGTGCCTTGCCGTGTTCACTCTGAAGATGATCTCTTTCCTTTTGTAGCTGAGACATTTGCCGCTGCTGCAGTTTCAGCTTACCTTGCAACTCACGATGTTCTCGTAACTAAAACATTAAAAAAAATGATTTACCAGGTATAATAAAATAAAGAAGTCACAGACAATGATTACAAGTTTAAAAAATGATGCACAATAAATTACCTGAAAGGTTAACAAAAAATGTATCACAACTAAAGTAATATAAATTAGCTTCTGCAGCATTAGAGTGATACTGTAAGTTGCCCTCAGGATCTAATGAATCATTATATAAAATAATAATATAGATGTTTAGATCTGAGAGGGCCATTTCCCACCAACTAGAGGTGATATCATCATAAATTTGGGGCTGAGGTGGTCTAGACTCTCGCCTGTGAATGTGCCTCGAATTCCTGGATCCGCAACAACATAACAAAAATTAAAATGATGTGGGGGGTATTGAGTTGTTTTTTGGTTATAAGGCGTTGGCATAAACAGCAGAAGGTCCCGGTTAGGCATTTTTTGGGGGGTGGCCTCCATTCAATTTTGACAGGTATAGGTTCTGGATGACAGACCCACTGAAACAAATTGCATAGGGTATACATATTTAAACTCTGTCTCTTATACACATCTAGATGTGTATAAGAGACAGTATTTAAGTAGAGGCAGAACTTACCACATCTGCATACTTCTTGCTGAGTGCTGTCACTTTCTCTTCTGGGGTGTCAAGTCCATCCAGTGCCTGTATGATCGCTCTGCTCATGTGCTCTGCATCCCGTCCTAAAAAAAAATGCACAAATATATATTTCTTACACATCAAACACAGCCATCCAGCAATCCAGTTTAATAGGTCTCAATTTAAATATTGAATTTTATTTAATAGTTTATAAATGAAATCTAACCTTTCTTCTTTTTCTTCTTTGCATTTGTTTCTTGCTGCACCACTTGTACTTCTTGAACTTGGGCTGTTTTACTATCATCAGATGAATTATCTAAAGGACTTGGTGAAGGAGTCTTGTCCCTTTTAGCATCCTAAGGAGTTTAAGAGCAATGTGCTTATGATTCTTTCTATTGTCCACAACAAATGTGTTCATGTGATTACAAAATTTGATAATTGAAATTGCTTGAATACCAACGAGTGATGGAGCCCGAGTCAAAAAATTTCATGGTCAATAATTTTCATAATTAGTTCTGTTATCCCAATTGAAACATTTTTATTTGTAAATTTGTTCATAAAAATTCAGGTACGCGCACAGTATGAGGTCTTTCAAGTGGGGTTAAATGACTTGAAAAAACAACACATACATTCATAGCCAAGGCATAGACTGGAATGATGTTCATTTATTGAAAGAAGGCCAGCCTAGGCCTAATCAGTGGTTTAAAAAAATTTTACACACACAAATTTGTACGTGTTGGCCAGTTATATTTATCGGTAAACTTGACGGCTAAAATGGCTTCGGGAGAACACAGGGTAACAGAATCCCCCTTTGTATTACGATATCTAGACGTTACCCCAGAGTGCTAAAACTTATGCCAGAGTTTAAAAGAAATAAGCTTTTGTGTTTCTTAGATCTTACTTTTTGGACCTGTTCTACTTCACCATTAACTTGGCCTGGTTCAGCTGGGCTGCCAGCTTCATCAGTTGCAATGTTTCCTTCTTTAGGGGTCTGTAGTATAAGTTTTGAATACATTCATTCATTCATTATTTCAAGATTTTCTTTTCCAATACTTACTTGGTAGTACACATATTGTAGATTGCTAAGGGCAAATGTATTTTAAAGCACGGTAGGCCTGTAAGTGAATGAATTTAGAGATTTACACACGCTTACACTCTAAGGGCACATAGAAAAAAATATTAGATTATCACTCTCTTTAAAAAAAAAATTGATGAGGGTGGGAGATTTTTTTTTTTTTTTTTTTTTGGAGGGTTTGGGCGGGGGGAACGGGGTTATACCTGGGGATTTCCTGTTATTCAGTGGCCTATCCAAAACTAGGACTAGGCCTATATTCCGTTGAAAAAAATTACTCGAGCATCAAAGGGAAGGGAACAAATTATAGGCGCCTAAGCTTTGGTCTTTACCTCAAGCTAGGCCAGCCTTTGCCTAAACTTTCTTTCTTGACGTCGTAAGTTAGTTTTTGCCCAACAACAACCAATCCAACCAAACACACCCATCACAAGGAAGACCACCCACTTGTAATGTATGATGTAACGAGTTCTTTTTAACTGCGAGAGTCCCTGTGGAACATGTACGTCTTCATGCTGTGAATCAACGATCCGATCAGCCCACTGGGCGGGGTCTCTTTAGGGACGGGCCGCGGTGCTGCCTATTTTTAGCCGCAGCTGTGGAACACCAGGTCTTCGCTCTGTGAATTAACGATCCGATCAGCTTACAGGTCTCTTTGGGACAGTCCGCGGTGTTGTCTATTTTAGCTGCAGTTAGCGAGCTGTTTATTTTTAGCAACAGTAAACAACAAGTTTAAGGAATGGGCTTTGCATTTTCAACTTTATATTTTGTGAGCATTTGTTTTTTGCAAAGTTGTTTTTATGCAGTTAAAATAAATAATGCAAAAAAAAATAAAAAAATAAAAAAAAAATTCAATATTTCCAAACTTTTTAACGCAGGTGGGAGTGATAATCTAATAAATTATTCTATTTGCCCTAAAGGAGCAAGGTAAAAGGACTATTTTCGAAAAAGGTAGCTAAACGAACAAGAACAAAAAGACTTGAAAATGAAATGATTCATTGGGAATGGGGAGGGAGTTTCCATTGCTATTGAACATTATTAAGCAGCTTTTGATGACGCAAGACATATTGAAATCACGTAAAGTTAATTGCGCATGTCTGAACTTTGTGCATTATGTTCTCTCCTGAAATCTGGAACGGTGTCAGCCGAATCTACATTCAGGCCAGAACAAGGACTGACATACTGTATTAAACAATGGTGCGTCTGTCTTTGTGTTTTTGACATCTCCGCACCGTAAAAAATTGAAATAAATTCACAGTAGAACGTACATGACGACATTCAGGGATGAGTGTATCCTTTCTACGTTCCCGTTTACTTAATCTAAAACTCAGCATTATCCATAGATTCCACGGTATATATTTGTAGTTTATATTTTACAGTTCAGTTGAGAAGTGTGCATATAATAAGTAATTGAGTACCAAATGATAGATTTAATATTCTATGTTTAATTAAATGAAATTTCCATTAATTTCCAAATATTAGGTCCTTTTAAAATTTACTTTATTTTTTAAGAGTTGTACTATAGCTGTTAATTATGGCCTAGCTATGGCCCTTACTACTAGGCTAAGCATAATTTAACGCCTAGACCTCACCTAGGCCTATGTAACTTAGGTAGAGCCGAGTTCAGTTTGAAACATTATTTTTTTTTTACTTATTTCCTTATGGTAACTACTTTCTCCCAGTAAAGTAGTAGGATAGCGGATAGGTACCAATGATATTTCATCAATGTGTATGGTATAATCCTATTAAGGCATGATACTTATTACACTACAGCAGTCTTCAGTACAGACACAGCGCAGGCCTCAAGACCACTATCTGTGTAGTTCTCGCACTCTTCTCTGCCCTGGCCTAGCAGCGGACCTAGCAGGCCATGAATATGGCAGGATGAAATGATGGCAGTGCTTGGAGGAATGATGCGTGCAGGGCTTGCGAAGATAAATTATGCAGGATGTATGGTGAAGTTTATCTTATAATATACATATAATAAGGTAGAAAATATACATTCTTTACCACAGTAGTAACTTCGCCTGTTTCAGCCATTTTTCCGTAGTTTTAGTAACAACAACCAAGGTCGATATCAGAGTTCACAGTGTTGCTGTTGAGTGTGTGTGCTTGGATTGGATGAGTGTAAAACATGAAATTGGACGAACCATTGAGGTGCATTATGGACGAACCAATGTAAGGCCTCTTGTACCCTGGACCTCTGCTGTGATAGGAATAGAATCGAAGTGAAAAAAATTAAATAAAAGTTTTATATTTATTAAATCCAGTATTAAATAACATTTATTTCATTTTTAATGCATTCAGGCGATCAGCCTATCGCGTTACCGTAAAGGCGAACTGTTGATAAATCTGGAAAAACCCTTAAAATTCCTTAAACACTTGATTGCTCTTATCGAAAGGATTCCAAATAAATGATAGGTCTAATAATAATAATAATAAATCTATTTTTATATAGCGAATTATGCATAAAACCTCAATGCGCTTCATATATAAAGCAGGAAAAAGATAAACAAAAACAAGATCGAAAAATAATGGTGATTAATAACAAGTGGTTAGTTTTATGCATCATGTTAACAACTAGGTCTACCACTAATATTTTTTAATGACTGCAGCAATTTAAGGGTGACACTGTGCAAAAATAGTAACGTTTAAACACGGGTCTTACTTTCTTTATTACAAAAATCTTAAAAAGAAAGGGTGATTATCCTCTTAAGCGTCCAATACACTGATTTCCAAAGAAAATGTAAACAAATGATTTCAAATATCAAATATAAATTAAAACAAGAAAATAATATTTTCTCACCAATGGAACTATCGAGGGAGGGTCAATCAATCTTTAAAACTGACAACTCAGAACCTGAGATTCAATAGCCAGGAATACGTGCATGTCCCACAAACTGGTCCCACAACCCACATTCTCCCGAGTTCCCTCTCAGCAGAGATGTACTGTAACCATATGTGCGCGCTGAGCATTAGAGATGACCTTTCAGACACTGGTCCCTGGTTCAATTAATTGTTTTTCGGACGTTTCGGACTCAGATCGGGGTCTTTGAACAAAAATCACCATATTATCTTATTCAACCCCACGGAACTATAGACTATTAGGCCTATAACTATAATTTTAAAAGTTGAACGTAACTATTATTATTATCTAGGTAGGTACTTAAGTGATTATTAATTTAAAAAATCGTTGTCACTCGTTATTTATAAACTATGAATCTATGTTTAACTATTTAAATTTGCAAACTACCTTGTGTGTAATGCGAGCACTATTATTATTATTATTATTATTGTTGTTGTTGTTTTTGTTGTTATTTTATGATAAAAATTTTATGAAAGAAATGATTGAAATAAATTATAAGACATCAGTAGGCCTATAATCTCTTTAGCCATAAGGGATTTGAGAAGCCCGCCCTCTGTCATTCCATTACCGGAAAACCTCGAATTGAAGACCGATGGGCCGCATCTCGAGAAGCCCATCTCAAATTTAAGCACTACCCCCCCCCCCCCACCTTCTTTAGTTTGTAAAAGTAGTCTACTAAAAAGAAGCCCATCTCAAAAAGAAGCCCATGGGCCTTTTTTAAAGATAGAATGGGCTTTTTTTTTTTTAAAGTAGGCCTACGGTACATGCACTGTAGGCCTACGAATTTCAAAAACTTAAATAATAAATAAATTAATTAATTAAAAAACACGCTTGTTTTATACAGTACCGGTAGTTTAGGTGATTTAATGTCGGTTTATAGGCCTACGCTCCATGATACAGGCTGATGTTACAGTGACCCTATTTATTGTTTTATAGTACAAATTCCCAAATTTGACAGCATCCATTTGAAAAGCTCCCTCCTTAATTTTGCAAAGTAGCCCCGAAAGCTAAAGAAGCCCATCTCGGAAAGAAGCCCATGCAAAGGTCGCATAAAAAAGAAACCCGGGCTTCTATTCGAGGTTTTACGGTAGGCCTATTACAATGTGATGAACTAAACTTGAGGAATTTCAATATTTAATAGTTTAGTTGATCGATGTATAATAATACCACATTCTATGTAGACTCATGAATTAATGGCACTGTAAAATGAGTTTTTTTGTCGTATAGCCTACTATGATCTTTAAATTAGCAAAAAAAAAAATCTTTGTATCGAAAGTGTAAGTGTATTATAAGTAGATAACTCTCGATCCTTTTAAATGAGCTCAATGTTTAAATTATTGATTTGTTGAGATTTGTTCTATGTTTTATGACAAATAGTAACCTTAGCCTGGTTTCTATAAAAATGCTTTACACTTCCCTCCCCCTCCCCCACCCCCTACATACGACGCAACCGGAAAGTATCTCCCGATTTGAGCCTATCCATTATTTCGGATTTCGGAATGGTGTAACACCCGCATTGTTAGCCAGAGGCTGCAGATTAGATTAATAGTAGAAACAGCGCACGAATATGGAACTCTCCTAAACTCTCTGATAAACTAAAGACACTCCTGAAAATTTACCTCTTTAATCATTAATTCTTATATTTATGTTTAAGCGCCAGTGACAGATAATGCTTTTCAAACAGGCTATGTAGGCCTACAATACACACATTATCCATTTACTATTATCATTTTTTTTTTTTTATTAATAAAGGAGCAATGATGAAAGATCTATCGAACATAGGCCTATAGCCTATCAACGAAAAGGTCCTAATCAATTGTTAGAAAAAGTTCCCCAAACGGAAAACACGTGGGGGAACTTTTTCCATGGAATTTTTTTTTAAATTATTATTTTTGTTCGCGGAGTTTATTCTTGATTCCCTTTTGAATTAAATAACATGTTTGGCGCCCTCTTTAACGACATTATCAATGTCCTCTGTAAATGTATATCACATGACAAGAAACGGTTTAAACTAATTGTGGTTTCTGAAATTTATTTATTTTTGGATAACATCTGAACACCAGGGAAGATTAACCACTTATACTTCAATCTCTACAGTATTTCTTGGCTAGCAAGACTGCAACCGTAGATGGATGGGCCTAGTAACTTAATAAAACAGAATAGCCAAATATGTAGTAACGTTACCCTATACAATTTTTGTGTTGTGCTATTTCTGTTTATTAAGAGCGTCCCTCGGATGAATTTGGGAACGTTGCCAGGAATTTTAAAACGCTGGTTCCACATGAATAACGTAAAGGGGAAATTTAATACTGATGTTTATGTTCTAGATTTCAAACGCTTTCCTAGGGATCTTCTTGGAATCTCGATTATAAGCATACGAGACCACCACTTCACTACGCCATTAAAAATATAATTACAGTATACAGTACTGTATTTTGATTCAACCGCAGAATGCGAGGTGGGCCATCTGCGGTTTAATGGCAAGGGTGACGCGAGCAAGGGGAATCCACATCCAAAAAAACGTTTTTTAACGCAGCATTCCCACAGCACGACAACATTCGCATATTCTAGCTAACCCGGTTAAGATCGTGGTTGATCGGAAAATGATTGTCTTCTCACTCACAGCGTTTCTTGGTTCAAATCACGTAAAAAAAAAATGTTTCATCTCAAGTTGAGGCTTACCTCGTGTTCAGTTCAATATATAGCCATGTAGCAAAATATATTATTGTAATCACTAAACGAAAAACTATCCTACTTTAGTGTCCTATAAATTCTAATAAAATTTAAAAAATATCAAAACAATTTGAATAAAAATAGAAACATCATCCTTCAATATGTTAAATTTTAATCAGTTTTTTGTTCTTTCTTATGCTTTAATGATTCTTTTTCATGTACTTCTATACAAGTAGGCTAATAAATAAAATAAACACTCGTAATAATATATACTATATACAGTAATATATATATATAGGGCCTATATAATATATTTATATATATAAGCCTATATATAAAGACCAAGGCCTATGTATATATAGTATATATAGGCCTATATATACACACCCATATATAGTATATATATATATATATATATATATATATATATATAGTATAAATCAAATAAATAGGCTTAATAATACCCTTCAAAATGAGAAAATTTTAATCAGTTTTGATTCTTTTGTTTCAATGTGTATTCCTTTTCATGTAAAGTTAACACAACAGTAATGATATATAAATAATATAATTATATTAATAATATAAATAAAATAATATATTACGGTCGTAAGTCTGCCTTTTTATCCCCGTGAAGGGCTGGGGGAAATTCCAAGTATATAGGTCTAGACCTCATGTAGTACTGTATCGATAATCGATTCTTACATTGTGACGACAGTTTTATTAGAGTATAAATTCCGCAAACAGACAGGCCCGGCAAATGAAAATCAGGCCTAGGCCTGTCGCAATTTAGAGGTCATTAACAATCTTCTGTTCGATGATTCCAAATGGGGTAATTACACATCTAATAATAGAAATCCTTGATCTGATTATTGAAAAGGTACACCATTTTACCACAAATAACAATACGGCTGCTACTAGGGAGCCGTCTATTTATTAAAAGAAAACCAAAGTTAGCACATTATAGTACCATTGATGCTATATCTGGGAAAAGTCATTACAGGTATCCCATCAATAGTCAGAATATAAAACATAATACCACATAATCATCATATCACTCACACCACTTAAGAATATAATTATTATAGGCTATAAATATATAAATACATATAACAATTAA